TTTTTAAAAATTAAAAAAAAAAAAAAAAAAAAAAAAAAAGGATAATGTTCCAGTCCAGCACCTAGGTACAGTTCTAGAGTGTACACCTGGAGCTATTTTTGATTGATTTCATGTCAAAAAAGTGAGAAACTAAAAATGTCTTGCTCATTAGCTGCTTATTTTTGCATCTCCATGATGTTAATGCGGAACCTAAATGCTCTCTCTGTCTGGTCTCCAGTGAGATAGTAAAGTCCTTGGAGCTGGATGTTTTGTGGTTAAGTTTCTTTATGTGCAGTCAAACTTCAGTTTTCGCCAATTTCTCACCCAAATGTTTTACTATGCTAAAAGTCAACTCTAGAATGTATTAGATTTACAGTGAAAAATTTGCAACACAAAACTTAAAGACCAAGCATTTGTGCCATTATCTGAAATAAGATTTCACACTCTCATCTGCTGAGCTTCCACAGAACAGGTGAGATTGCTTTCCCCAAGTTCTATCTTATAAGGGTTTGCCATTGGAAATCCATAAAATTTGTACTCTTAGCTGACTTCCATCCTTTGAATTTTAATAGTAAGCACTCCCACTATGAAGCCAATAGACGTCCACTGCAATACAGCAGCACTATTTATATATCACAGTACCTTGTGTTACAGCCACATTGTGGCACTACAAAAGGTATGGGTATCTACTTCTGTTGCTTTCTGCCACCATTAAAATCTATGGGGGCACAAAGTCAATGAACCCCACAGATTGCCAGAGGTGCATCTCTGGAAGTGGGGAAACATTGTTCTTCAAGGTCAACAGATGGGATGCAGGGTGATATGCATTTCACACAAAGCAGATTGGCCGAGCAGGAACATGCCCCAGGCACAGCTGATCCACTTCATTTGCCAAAGTCTGTTTTTACCCTAAGGAACACACTTTAGTCTGGAAAATGGATACATCAGCCCCTTAACACACATTTTATTTCTGTTCACACACGAAAGTAGAAATAATCATAATCCAAGAATGTTTTTGATGAGCCATGTTGGAAAAATCCAAAACTGGACAGGAAAAAGAACTAACGAGAAACAAAATAGGAATTTGGCAAAGTATTAGAGTTTCCATACCTGTTCCAATTGGTCATTTCACTCCCAGAGGCAGCTGCACTTTTTTCTTCATCTGTCGTGTTCTGCTCTGTCACAGCAGAAATAGACAATTCAGACATCTTGCATCTCTCCATGATTACCATTTCTATTTCTTAACAAGAGCGAAAAAAAAGAAAAAAGAAAAGTTTAGATGAAGACTGAGTTTCAGTTTGTGACTGACAAAAACATGGATCAGAAGCAAGGAATACACTGCTCATCTATCAGATCTGTGAGGAGTTAGAGGTAGTCTAGTTTTCCTGCTACAGCCACAAAAATATCAAAAAACTGCCTGATGTTAGAATAATTTAGCCGTCATAAGAAAAATCCACTTATAAGTTCATGAATAGTAACTTTGGTCTAGTACATAAAAGCCTTTAGAAAACTATTTTAAAAAACTTGGATTTTATCATTTTAAAACTCAGCTTTGCCAAATATGTTCTCTAAGAGTAACTGAGGTAACTGAAAGTAAAACAGTTCAATCTATGCCCAAACCATAAGGAAAATGCTGATATATAATGCCTCACTAGGGAAGAAATGAGGAGGAAGGGATACAATATGAAGAATTATACAATGCAAGAATGCTACAATAATGCAAAGAAACCAGGTTTAAGAATGAATGTTAAGAATCGCAGGAAAGTAGGGCAGGAAGGAACCTCACAAGGTAATCTAGTCCAGCCCCCTGCTCAAGACAAGATCATCTCCAATTCAGCTATTCCATCCAAGTGTCTGTCCCACGTGCTCTTGAAAATTTCCAGGAATGGAGTTTCCACAACCTTGCTAGGTTCCAATACTTGAACACTCAGCTAGTGAAAAGGTTCTTCCTAACCTCCAATTTAAATTCTCCCTGCTGTAGCTTGAGCATGGCCACAGAGGAAAGCTCGTTTCCATCTTCTCTATAATCACCCTTCAGATATTTAAAGACTGTTAACAAATCCCCCCTCAGTCTTCTCGTCTCCAGATTAAAGAACCCTAGCTCTTTCAAGCTTCCCTCGCAAGTTACGCTTCCCAGCTCTCTAGTAATTTCTGTTGCTCTCTGCTAGACTCTTTCCAACCTGTCCACATGTATGGCTCAGTGTGGGGACCAAAACTGGACAAGTATTCCAGGTTCAGAATTGCCAGTGTCAAACAGAGAAGAAAAATCACTTTCCTGGACCTGCAAAAAACTCCAGTTAATACAGCCCAGTACGCTATCAGGGTGTGTGTACATGTACGCAACAGGAGCCAACTGTTGGCTCATACTCATCTTATGGTCTACTGCAAGGCTCCACATGGGTTGAGAAATTTGTCGGAGGTGGAGCAGTGGCCACCCTCCCCACCTGCTGCCACATTTCCACACCCCCTCTGCCAACACAGCCAGATCATAACCCCTTCTTTCCACACTGCCAGGTTGGGGCCAGGTCATGCTTCCTTTCCCACTGCCCAGGTGAATTGGGACCAGGCCATACCCTCTTCCTCCACACGGGGCTGAACTGGGCCAGGCTGCCACCAGTTCCCCTGTATGCAGCCAGATGGGGCCTCGTCACACCTGCCCTGGGCACTGGAACAGGGCCACTGGCACATCCAGCCTGTGGACAGTCTGGACACTGCCCAGCTGGTCCACCAAGGAAGTAGGTCGAGCACCACTGATCTACTGTAAGCCCTAGGTACTTCTCTACAGTACTGCAACATAGCCAGTCATTCCCCGGTCTGTATTTGGGCATGCAATTTTTCTATCCCAAATGAAGAACTTTAAACTTGTCCTTGATGAATCTAATCTGATTGACTGCAGACCATTTCTCTAGTCTATTCAAGTCATTCTAGATCCTAGTCCTCTCCCTCCAAAGTGTCTGCAACTCCACCCCGCTTGAAATCATCCATAAATTTGCTAAGCATACATTTAACTCCATTGTCCAAATCTATTAATAAAGATGTTAATACCACCAGACGCCAGATAGATCCTTGTTAGCCAATGACTTTGAACTTACGTCAGCCAATTCTTTCCATACATGAGGGTCTATCCCATTTGGCCCTGCTAACTTGAAAGCATCTAGCTTGTCTATATAATCTCTAACCTGTTTTTCCACTACTGTAGGCTATTTATCTCCTGCATCCTTGCTGCCAACTGCACTCAGCATTTGATAACTGATTCTATTCATGAAAACTGAATTAAAGCAGGCATTAAATACTTTGGCCCTCTCTGTATCATTAGCATTTGCACTAATTAAATTTCAAAGTCCACAAAATAAGTTGCTAATGTAAGTAATCATTTCCTCTACAGTGCTGAAGAAATAAAAAGACAGGAGCAGGCCTGGGTCCGATGTTTCAGATAAGCAGTCCGAGTGCAAATAAAGTGTTACAGACAGAGACTAAGGCTTTTATAGTATTAAAATATTTTACATGCTTCGTACCATGAAAACCCTGCAGCATCCCAAGAGTGCCATAAGACAAGGATCAGTAATACAAGCCCTGAGGCTGAATGCAGCCCACAGGGAGAGGGGGCTTCACTGATGTTCCAGCAGCAAGAGGCTTTACCCACACCAGCACTGGGCAGTGGGAGTAGGGAGGCAGGGGGAGGAGTGACATCAGAGCTCCTGCCCACCTCAGACACCAGCTGGGCTGTTCTAGCTCCTGGCTTTGAGAGGTTGGCAACCACCATCATGAAATACAATTCAGCAAGTGCTCCTAGTAAAACAAACAAAATCAGGTTCTCTTTTTGATGCTGTCAAGTTAAATCTTTATTTAAATCAAATCTTTGCCATGTTCCTGGATACTAACAAGATCTCAGCAGTCAAACTCACAGCTTGACCTGCTACCCATTCCCTGGTTGTAAGAACTGATTCTGCCAAAGCTAAACACTCTTGGCTCTATGACAGAAATCTGATACTCTGTTTTCAGCCCAAAGATAACATCTACCCAGACTATTCATGTTCCTTCTTTTTCTTCAGAAAAGAACCAAGATGCATTTTGGTCAACTCTACATTTTCTAATACAAATGAATATTAACCTATTATCAAAGCCTGGAACTTTGTTTCATAATCAAATACAAACATTTCCCTGGAATATTAATAGTTTGAAAGTTATGAGTGAATAATAGTTAGCCCAGGGGAGGGAGGGGGAGGGAAAGAATTAAAAAAAAGGAAGTGAATTTTTTTAATCTATTTTTATCTGAGCCACATTTTAGGGAGAACAAACTCTGCCTCATATGCCTCTTTTGTTCTCGTTTGTTTTAAAACAGCGGCAGCTGTGGAAAACTTGATAAAGACAGAAGGTTAAACAATAGTTACAGGAGATTCCAAATGTTAAACCAATCAGTGTGCAAGTCAAAATGATTCTGCACAATTTACATTAGCTGTATTCAACATAAGCCAATTGAGGAAATGTTATTCCTGGGAAGTATACATGAAAATGTCGTGCACGGTCACAAAGAATAGACCATTTTCCATCACTGAGTGTCAGCCAATATAAAATACAATAGCTTTGTTTCACATATTTCCCAATTTGGTTGATGCAAATGAATTCAGGTGTGGTATCTGGCACCAATTAATTCTTGTAACTTTAGTTTGTTCACCAAAGCACAAGGAGTCACTAACTACGTGGTATGATCAAGGCTTCTTGCTTCCTGGACTAATTTGGTTTAAACATAAAAAACTTAGTGTTTTAAATAACCAAGAAAAACAGATACCATTTTAATACATGTCTTGCCAAGTTAAGTTACTTCAAAGAGGGAGTAAGAATTACAAATATACTTGGTCTGCTTGGGACCTTAATTGTATACCTATTTTGCTCAAATACCAGTATATTGATTGTGTGTTGTATAGAATTGTTTAAGCAAGACGGAGATAACAGATCTTGGAAGCTCTTATCAAATGCATCAAAATGGAAGCATGGTACAAAAGGGTTGTTAAAGTAAGCATAGCTATATTTTGTTTTGGGATATACCAAGGGTGGGCAGAATACAGCCCATGGGCCAGATCTGGCCTCCCAGGCCCCTAAAAAATTTAGATAATTAATATTTATCTGCCCCTGGCTGGCTGTCAAAGATGACAGGAGCCAACAACAGTAGGATGCAGTAGAAGCCACAGCAGGACCCTACAAAAGCAAGGCCCGCCTAGCCCCACCCCCCGAGCCAGAAGCCCCTGACTAGCAGAGGCTTTTGGCCTGAGACTATGGGGCTGTTCCCGTCTCCCTGCGCCGAAGGGGGAAATTCAGGTAAGAAAAGGGAAGCAAGGGAAGACCACGGGTGATCGCCCGAGTCCTCAGGGCTAGGCCGGCTCCTGCTAAGTCTTGCTGTCGTGGCCATGCAGCCAGGAACCGTGTGGTTCTGGACCTGCCAGCAGGCAGGCAGGAAAGTAGCGAAAGTGGCGGCAGGGGCTGGGGGGAGTGGAAGCAAGTGGATATGTGGGAGCGCTGGGCCAGCACCAGCAGGGCCCTAAGCGGGGCGGCAGGAGCACAGGGTGCAGACTGGCAGTGGACTATGGAGCCAGGCTGGGCTGTGCCAGAAGGGAGAGGGGAATCTGGCCAGGCTCCACAGAGCCCCTGCTGGCTGGGATCCCGTGCTCCTGTCACCCTACTCTGGGCCCCGCCGGTGCAGGCCCTGGGCTCCCGCTACCCCCTGCCCCCCCAATCTCCATCTCAGCCCTGTGGTATAGGCAGCGACCAGTGTGCATAGCCCCGACCCCGTGTGCCTTGTGCTAGCTCATCTGGGCTGAGCAGCGGCAGTGCAAGACAAACTGCTGCTCAGCATGGAGGGAAAGCGGCCCACAGTCCCACATGGGCTCCGAGCAGCTGCACCAGGAAGTGCCAGCAGTGGGAGGAGGAGGGGCTGCTTTTCCCTGGCGCTGAGCAACAGTTTGTCCCGTAGTGCTGCTGCTGAGCCAGGGCCCCATGCTGGCTCTGGGCTTGCCCATCGGGGCTGAGCAGGAGCAGGAGCAGGACAGAAACTGCTGCTTGGCACAGGGGAAAAGTGGCCCCTCTGCTGCTGGGCAGTTTTTGCTGCAGCCACCTGAAGCCTGTGCTGTGCTAGACTGCGATGCGGCTCCTTCAGCGTCGTCTCTGGGCTGCCCAGTGCAGCACCGGTGACAGCATGAAGCAGTTGCAGGGCAGCTCACAGGTGGTGGTGAAGAAGCCAAATCA